CTGTACGAAGACTTAATCCTTTACACGTTTTAGAACATTCTTAGAGCACTGAAGATCTTTTCCAGGTAAGCCTGTAAAACTTGTTATTGTAAATCTTTCCCAACAAAGAGCTCTGTAGACAAAATAAATACCCCACACATAACCAACCACTGAGGCTTTAAGCTGGCACTTATGAGATCCACTCAGTGAAAAGAATGAAGCAAAGGTCTGAATAATTTCAACTGACTGCATAAAAGGTGGAATCAGGAATGAAAACTGCATTATTTGAAATGTCTCTTTGATGAATAAAGTCAATGCATAAACTCTGAACAAAATAGGTCATTAAAATAAGAGGGGTTTTCAACTAGGGACAAAATTATAATGAACACATGACAAGTTATTTAATCAGCAGCTGAAAGAAAATCAGACATTGTAAGAACAGCAGCATAGAAATTTATATAGAATAAGAAAAAATAGAATTTAGACTTCAGGTGTACTAACAAACTTTAATTTTGCATTCACAAGGCAAGATTTCTGGAGATTCTTAAAAATCCACTTCAGCACCATCCTAATCATGATGTGATCACATCCTGAGAGTGACAAGGCAACAAAAAGAACCCTCCAGAACAAAAGACTTCAACCACACGCTGAACAAAAAAAGCCAAATCAGAGCAACTTCAAGCTATGAAAATTTGTACAGCTACAAACCAAACCTTACTACCAGTCAGATTATCTGAACTTGTTGTAGTCCAAGAGGCATACTGAAAGAAAAGGTTAAAAATTTTATGATCATTGTAAGACTGAAAGCTTCAAGGAGAAATTAAAGGAAGTGTTCCAAATACATTTGCATAGAACACTGAATAAAAGAGACCTGATCACTGGGTAGAGTTCTTTCATGCATCTGTAACAAGAGATGTGAACTAACTTCTCCCTTCCCTCCCCTCTGTTTCGACACGCACAGACATTCAAGCTTAGACTCGTCAGTAGGAAGGGAAATAAATGTTGGGAAGAATAAGTTGTAGCAATATGAACTCATCCAACACCCCAAAAAGTGGCCATGAATTATTCAATAGAATAAGAGTTTAATGTGCAAGAGGCTTGAGAACCCAGAAAATAAGGAACAATTTCAACATAAATTATGAGCAAGTGACGGAACTCAAAGACAACACCCAACCATTGTAACTAGAGAGCGTGGAAAATTAATAATCATTTAGAATTAAAAAATCCAATACAAAATGACACAAAAGACAGCACTACAGTAATTAAAAGAGGGTATTATAAAAATCTAAAGCACTTTGTTACAAATATGCCAAGATACTGAGGAAGAAAAAGGTATGATGTTTAAGTGATGAAAAGCTATTATGCTTATTGATACACGTGGGAAGCGAAAAATAAGCAAAGAAATGAAGGAAGCAGCAAGAAGCTGAGCTTCAAGGCCATGGTACGTAATTATTGCACTCAGAGACGCGCCAGATGTGCAGGGTGTGAGACGACATGATGTGAAGGATGCTAAGCAATGGAAGGCAAGGCGAGCCGAAGCAGGAAAACTCAGCAGCTCCTGCGAAAGCACTCGCAAAGACCTGCAGGCGGGTGATGCCCCGCAGGAGCCGAGAGAAAGACCCATTCGCTCCCTGTCGCGGAGGAGCGGGACGCAGCGACCAGCGCTGGCATGCGAGACGCAGGAGCGGCCGCGGGCCGCAGGGACGGCGTGCCCAGGGCTGCAAAGCACCTGCAGCCCCCTCAGCGCGGGTACTCCCTAACACCCCGGCCCCCGTGACCGTCAGCTTCCCTGGAGGCTGCGGGCCCGCACCACCCCTCAGAAAGGGCCGGAGGCCTTCCCTCACACCCTCTTACTGTGCCTCCCGCGCCGTCCCGCAGGTGCCGGGCTGGCGGGCGAGCGGCCGGGCCCGAGCCGGCGCCGCCGCCCTCAGGCCGCCATGTTGCGTTCCAGTCGCCCCGGCAACCGCGCACGCGCCGGCCCCGCTGCGCACGGCACGGCCGGGGGCGCATGCGCAGTGCGCGCGGCGTGCCCCGCCCTGCCCTCCAGGTGCGAGCCCAGGTGCGGGAGAGTTGTGCGTATCGCGCTCCCGGATAATCTTTTTTTTTTTTTAAGGAAAGACAATCCTAAGGTGAATAGGCTGTCTGGACGAGAGTCACCAGGACTGAAGTCAGGAGGATGGAGCAGTAACTGGGGGAAGCGTAATTTTGGCAGTGCGAGGTCGCAACCCATTGGGCACCTATCCAGAAGGGACCGCAGACTCAACCGGAAAAAAAGAACTGCTCCTGGGGACTAATTAGCATGAAAAGCGAGATGCTACTACCAAATAGTTGTTTGAATACTAATTAACAGAAAACGGACGTCATTGGTAGCAGAGGAATGCTGATGCCTTTGTTTGTTAAAAGGTATAGCAAGTGTAAAGTTTTGATGATCACTGTGGAAGACTTTTGTGGGATACCACCCAGCTCCCTGCTTTGCGCAAAATAGAATAAAACCCGAAATACCTCGCCTCGAGGTGTCAATTGGCGTCCCGACTCCCCGGGGGTGGCGGGGGTGAGCCGCCCGCGGGTCAGGGGTTAAGGAGGGGAGCCCTTGGGACAGGAGATGTGCTCCATAAATCCAGCGGCGGGCCCTGGCTGCTGTTAAGCCTCCGGTAGCCAGAGCAGCGCCCCGGCGGGCTCAGATTCATCCCCGGTGATGGGCTGATCCCTGGCGGATCCTGCGCGCCACTGCGGGACGGGGAGAGCAGCCATACCGCCAGTCCGGCAGAGACAAGAGGGCAGGGGCTGTGTTCTCACCGAGCTATCTCCAAAAACCTGCATTTTGGAGAGCTGTGTCATCCCCTCCCTGTCCCCGCCCCCGCTGTTTGCCTCTCGCTAAACAGACATCTGTACTTAAACGTAGTCTTCAGAGGTGAGCAGAAAAGTTCTTTTCTATGCAGCGTATGTAGTAAAAATCAAAACACCAGAAAAAGGTGAATTTTTTTGTCCGTGCAAACTAAGATCCTAGTAGTGCGTTAAACAGAATAGTAGATGATTTTTAAGAATGTTCAAATATTTTAATTAAAAGTAGCTTGAATCATATCTTAGTAAGCTTGAAGAAGTATTAGCCTATTGACTGAGAGGCGAAGTTATCCCCGACCCCGCGTTACAGTTGTTCCCTTACCAGGCCCTGCATCACTCGCTAGGCAGGGAAGAGTTTTCCGATTTGTTTTTGGTTTTGCTTAGGGGTTAAGCGTGTTTCCGTATGCGCGGGCCCGGCTCCGGCGCTCCTGTGGCCGAGGAGGTTCCTCTCCCAGTCCATTGCCTTTGCCACCTCGGGCAAAGGGTAAAACATTGGCATAGAATTATCTTTATTTATCCCAGAGGCTGGGCCAGAGTCAGCTGGCCGGTTAGCTCAGTTGGTTAGAGCGTGGTGCTAATAACGCCAAGGTCGCGGGTTCGATCCCCGTACGGGCCACATTCATTTGTATTTTGTTTCTTTTTTCTTTCCCTCATTCTTATTTTCGTCTCTCTGATTTGTCCCAGCGATTCCCACCCACCTCACACAGTTCTGCTGAGACGGGGCGTTGACCTCTGTACAAGGGCACGGCCGCGGGCGTGTCTGTCTGTCTGTCTGTGCGGGGCTCGAGCGCGCAGGGCGGCTGCAGCACGGACCGAGCTTCATGGCGCTCCTGCGGCTAAAGGAGCCCGGCGGAGCGCGGGTCGGCTACAGCGTGCTCGGGTGACCCCTTCGGGCTCTTTCCTGCCGGGTGGGTTGTCCTTCCCGCGTGACACCCGCTCCCCCGCCCGGTGAGAGCGAGTGGTGGAGCACACACTCACTGAATGGGTCACTTTGGAGGAGACCATAATTCGTCCAACCTCCCTGCTAAAGCACACTTGTCCTACAGCACACGGCAGAGGATTGCGTCCAGCCCGTTCTGGGATATCTCCAGTTGAGGGAGACTCCACAATCTCTCGGAGCAACCTGTTCCAGTGCTCAGTAACCTGCACTGTTAAGTTCTTCCGCATGTTCAGGTGGAACTTTCTGTGCATCAGTTGTCCCGTATCCCAGGGGCTGGCACCTCCGAAAAGGGCGTGGATCCATTCTCTTGGTATAAGCCGCTTTAAATATTTATACACAGACACGAGGTCCCCCCTGAGTCGTCTCTTCTCGAGGCTGGAAAGGCGCGACTCCCTCATCCTTTCCTCGTAAGACAGACGCTCCAGTCCCTCAACTATCCCCCACTGCACCCGCTCTAGGAGCTCCACGTCCCTCTTGTACTGCGACTCGGTACAGACTCGGCTCAAACACCGGGGAAACCCAACTCGGGGTAACTCCGCCCGCGGGGCCAGGAGCTCCGGGCGCACCTCCGCCGGGTTTAGCCCACGCGAGCCGCCGTCGGCGCCGGGCGGCCCCGCCCCGGGGGGCGCGGCGGGCGCTGCCGGGGGCGCCATTGGCCCCGCCGCCGGTGCCCCGCGCATCGCCCGCGCTGCCGACACCGCCGGGGGCAGCCGCCGATGCGGCGCCCGCCCGCCCGCGCCTGCCAAGATGGCGGCTCCCGGGGCGGGGGGCGCCGGGGCCCTGCCGCCCCCTCCGCCCGCTGAGGACGAGCCCCCCGGGACCCACGGGGCGCCCCCCGGCGCGGCGGCGGGGCGAGAGGAGGGCGGTGGCAGCGGCGCGGAGCTGCTGGCGGTGACGGAGGAGCTGGTGCAGAGCTTGGCCGCGCTGGAAGCCGGCGGAGGGGCGGCGAGCGGCGCCGTGCTGTACCTGCGGGCGGAGGGCGCGGGACTGAGCGCCGGCGAGCAGCGGCGGCTGCTGGAGAGTCCGGGGCCGCCCCCGCCGCCCCGTCCCGCCGCCGCGCCGCTGGCCCCCGCGGAGCTCCGGCGGGTCATCGAGCAAGTGAGCAAGGCCCACGAGCAGCTGAAGCCGGCGGCGGCCCCGCCGCAGCCCTGCCCCGCGGGCGGCTTCATGCAGAACGCCGCCCGGCAGCTTCAGAGCGTGGCCCAGCAGGTCGCCCTGCAGCAGGGCAGGGCCGCGGCGGCCGCCCGCCTCCTCCCGCAGAAGGTAACCCCGGGGCTTGGGGGGGAGGGAGGCTGCGGCGCTCCGCTGGTGATGAAAACCACGGCTCCGGCGAGTTTAATCCTTTCTGATAATTTTTTCTTCCCGTTCTTTTCAGTCACACCTGCTCAAGGGTGTAGACTCCACTCCCATAGCTCAAAGGCACAGTTTTTAATGTGGTTTAGGAAAATCCGTGTTTGAATGTAGCTAATAGCTGCTGTGGTCAGTATTTCGGTTTGACAACAGGTGCAGCCAAGAACAGTTTAGAAGAGCTGTTTCGTAGTGGTTAAGTGGTGATACACAGGAAGTTACTGCATGCCTCATGCAGGTGAGATAGTCCCTGGGCTTTCAACCCACCTTTGGGGTGTAGGTTATGAAGTGATTGATTTGGACTGAAGCAGAAATTTGGATGCGGCAGAGAAACTGTAAGGGAGATGAACAGTAACATCTGATTCTGTGAATCATCACCACAAAGTTTTTGTGAAGTGAACACACATTATGACATGTCCTGGACTGGGTATTGGGGCTGTGTCATGTAGCAGACTGTAGTTTTCCTGTGTGTGGGGTTTGCTAAAGGTTATGGACGTGCCTTGGTGAAGGCATTGACTCTGCTATTCCAGACAGGCCTGCTAGCAGGAAACAAAGCTGTGACATGGCCTCAGAGCAAACTTTACATGCTTTACTTGAGCCTCAGTCACAGCAGAAAATGTGCAGGAAAACCCGTAGCTTGAAGGAAGGGAATCTGTTTTGATGCATTAAGATGGAAAGTTGATGATGTGTAGCAGTTTCTTCATGCTTTGCTTTAAGGGAATGTGTGTATTATCTCTTAACTATTGTATTTATTTATTAATACTGTATTTGTATAATTGCAACTTTTCCTTTTTTCCACAAAAGCAGCTGGAAGCCATTTGTGTCCAAGTTCAGCCAAGACAGATGAAGGAAACTGAAGGGTCAATGACATCATTGGCACCAATCCAGTCCAAAACTATAACGCTGAGTCAGCCAGTTGGTAGGAAATCTAGCATACCAGGAGCTGGCATTATTAATCCCCAGTTAATTAGGATACAGCCTGTTTCAGGAACTGAGCAGCAGCAGCTACTCGTGCACAGTTCTTCTGAGTCTCCGCTTCAGTTGCTTATGCAGAGGCCTTTGCCATCTCATGGGTCAGTGTCTGTGGACAAGATTCCCCCATCTAAGATGGTGAATGGACAGAGGGCTACTTGTGCCACAGCATCGGCTTCAGGGTCTCCAAATCCTACCATGGCTGCAGCCAGTTCAGCAAGTACACCATGCCTTGAAAAAAAGCAAAAGGATGACAAGTTAAAGAAATCTTTGAAGGTTAAAACTCGTTCTGGACGGATTTCACGCCCCCCCAAATACAAAGCTAAAGATTATAAATTTATTAAAATGGAGGATTTGGCTGATGGTCATCAGTCTGATTCTGATGACTACTCTGAGCTGAGTATAGAAGATGATGAAGAAGGAAAGGTGAAGGGAAAGGATGCATTATTCAGTTCTTCAAATTATAATCTGAAACCCAAGACCTTTAAATGTCAGACTTGTGAAAAATCTTACATAGGAAAAGGAGGATTAGCAAGACATTATAAACTTAACCCAGACCATGGACAGCTGGAGCCTTCACCTCAGAAAATACCTCTAAATAAGCCTAATGGAAGTATGTTTGTGGAAGAGGAAATTATGAGTCCAGCACATTTGGATTCAGCTGCTGTCACTTTAAGTCATGAAAAAGCACTAGCTACCAGTCTGGAAGAAACTGTTGATTCAAAGGGTGGAGAACAGGTAAAGTGTTACTTAGAAAACTTGTCAATTATGTGGAAAGTAGAATGGCAGTTCTATAGCTGCACAGTCTTGTACTGCTCAGAAATATACACTGATAGACTACATTAGGCAAATTTCCCATTGAAGTCCTTTAAAAATCAAATTGTCTCTTGCAGTGCTGCAGCAAGAGTACCCTTACACAGGCACATAGAACTAAATGTTCACTGAGTGTTCATTTCTTACTGTGTTTCTGACATACAGTTTTCACCTTGTCTGCATAAATGACATTCTTCTCTGCGTTTGGATAAGAACACTGTTGTTCAGTTACAGCCTTTAGTAGACAGAAACACATCATCTGCTCTCTCATTTTCTCTTGCTGAAATGATGTCATCACAGAAAAATTCTCTTATTTGGAACACAACAGTGAACTGCAACTTTTCCTAGAGCATGTTTTCAAAGTGAGGCTTTGAAACCCTGCACACCAAACACTGGTAAAATTTGAGTCTCTGGGGTGGAAGCTGCCTCAGCTGCAAATATTTTCCTGTTCTAAGCTGGTCACTTCAAAGAAAAGTTTCTCTTTTAATATTGAAATGACTCTTAACATTTTGCAGCAAGAGCTGATGCAACTGCTGGTTAGGAAAAAGTACTCGTTTAGATGTAGGGGTGTCACATTTGTTACTTGTCTTTGTAATTGTGAAGTTGTTCTCAGGAAAGTGAAAATTTACAGCAAACAAACCTTCCCTCATCCTCTACACTTAGTTATGATCTCTGAAAAAAGAGAATTGCAGAATACTGACGTCTGCTCTCTGAATTATTGTAGTTGTTTGATACAGACAGGAAGCCAATCAAGATCCCCATGCTCAACCCCTAATCCTGTGTCAAATTTGGAACTAATTTAGTAATTTAATCCCTGGATAGAACTGACATAAATTTGCCATTTATAGAGCTTTCCTAATCAGTAGAATAGTAGGGAGTTACTGAATGTTGGGATGCAAATGTGCAGATTATGCAAAGAAGCCTGATGTAACTCAGTACTATTATAAACTAATTTCTTGAAAGATACTGGAACATTTTTAGAAATTCTAGCTTGGAAGGGAAGATGCTTAAGTAAGAAATCACTGCTTTGAACAGTTAAAAAGTTTTACACTGAAATTATCATTATAACTTAAACATATAAAAGGTACTTAGACTTTCTGTGTGATCTTATAACAGAAGCTGCTTCATAGCTGTGTTCCTAGGGAAGACAGGATTTTGGAATGTGATAACTGGGCAGTACGTTTTGGTATTTAATTACTGGGCTTGTCACTGTTCATGGTGTCAAGAGGTTTTGTTTTTCTTCTAATGTTTTGATGTGGTTACAATGAAACCCAAATTATTCTGAGTATGGAGTATGTTTTACTGCTAATTAAGTTTTATTTCTACAGCCTCTTTATCTAAAGAGGATATATTTTACTTCAAAAATATTAAATGTATTTAACCCACTTAAACCACTTGTTTCATTCTGTTTATTTATTTTTTTTTCTTTTGTATGACATCTTGTGGTTCAAAAATGCTAACTTTGCAAATAATGACATATATGTGATGCAGAAGTAGGAGTCTTAACTAATGTGTTAGATTTATTTCACAACTTTCTTTGCAAGTTATGCTTGTATCCAGCTTTGCAGTTGCTATTTATTGTTTGCATAGATGACAAACTTAATTTTAAAATTGTCTTCCTCAAAACTGTTTAAAATGGTGAATAACCACTTTTTCTTTTAATTAAGGCATCAGAGTCTGAGAAAAGCAGACACTTGTTGGCAGAACAACCAAATGAAACCAGTTCAGGACACTGGGGACCTGTAACACCAAAAGCACCTGGAAGACCCAAACGACCAAAGAGACGTGGTCGACCCAGGATGGGTGGAAGATCCAGGGGTTCTGGAAGGCTTAGCAGACCTGGTCAGTCCCCTTCAAAGTCACTTAGTAGTGTGTCAGCAGAACACAATGTATTCAGAAGAAAAGCTAGGTTAAAAGAGGTATGGTTCTCTTCTGCAATTACTTCACGAGTATTTTTATTTCCCCTCCACCTTTTTTTTTAGTCACTTATTTTCAATGAATAATTTTCAAAAAAAATTTTTTTTTTGCATCCTCATGTATGGACAAGGTGAATGTCTTAGATGGGGCTTCCAAGATGAAAACATTAAGTTGTCTTTTAAGAAAAAAATACTTCCAGCAGAATACTGGAAGAAAGGAAAATGGGAACTGGGTTTGGAAAGGGACTTCTGACATGTAGATATATTCCTGCTACCCTTTTTCTGGAACTAGCTACTACTACGTATCTCCTCCAACACAGTAAAAGAAATAATGAAAAGAACCAAAAAATCCCAAAACAAACCTACAAAGAAGGTCTTGAGGGATGATAGAATGGGGATTACAATCCAAGTAACACAACTTGTTCTTCGTTTTTTGTATGTTATAGATCCTTTATGGCTACTAAAGCTACTGAGGTTGCTGTTCTTTCTATGAATTGGCCACATTTGTGGGACTGAGTTTTGTCTGTACATGAGTAGTAATTATTTGAGCTTTTCTAACTTAGCCCGTTTTGGAGTTAGTTTGCATCTATTCTTAAAGCTGCCTAAACATACAGCATATTTATAAAAAAAAAGTACTGATATTTTATGTTCTGAAAATGGGGTGCAAAATGTGTGGGCTGCTTTTTCCTAATAATCTCATTTTGGATTTTGACAGCTAATACAACAATGTGATAATGAAGACTTAATGGAGCTGGCTCTCCCACGTCTTACAAAGCTTGTTACAGTGTATGAATTCCTGTTGATGAAGGTGAGTTTTTATGTAAAAATATTGAATTATTTTAGGGATACATCCATTGGTAGACATAAAAAGATTGCTTTAGAGACATAATTGAATTTCCTAAATTAATATCATGCAGCATGTAGATGTTCTACACATCACTTCAGTCTTACACAGGCAAAACTCTGGTAGGTCTCAACTCAAAGCCTTACTTTTTGCTGCCTGGTTCAGTGGCATTTTGAATATTCCAGAGTCTTTTGACTTAATGTTTCTATTTTAAAATGTTGAACAGAACAAAGTTGACAGAACTTAATTTCATCCTTTTTTAAAGTATAGGGAGGGAGAAACATGCCCGTTTTTATTCCCCTCTTATTCCTAGGTGGAAAAAGGACACCCAGCCAAAGCTTACTTTCCAGATGTGTATAGGGAGTTTGAAGATTTGCATAACATGGTAAAGAAAATGGCTTATGATCACCTCAGTAATTCTGATTCTGTGAATTGCCAACAGCCTGTTGAAATAAAAGATGCTAAGGTAATAAATCACTTTGTTTGGAATTATGATTGATTGTTTGGTTTGCTTGCTTTATTTTAGATACCTTGCATTTTTAATTTTCTCTGATAAGCTTTCTCATACAGGTAAATTTATTTGAAAACAACATTACTTTTAATTAGCAAAAATAGACATTATTGTGAAAATTCCAACAACTTACCAAGAAGAAAAAGAAATCCATAATAAAACCACAATTCTAGTATATATCAGTGGATACAACTGGAGAGATAAGAAAACAATTCTAGCAGTGCTGATACCTGCCTTGCATATCTAGGGTAGTATGAAGCTACATGTTACTGCAAGATTTATTTAGCATTAACCACTAATCAAAGTACATCCTGATGTTTGATCAGGAATGGGGGGTGGTCTATATTTAAAATTAGTGACCTTGATTTAGAGGCAAGTAATTTGATTGCAAAATGAGGGCAAACTGAATGCATCTATGCAGTTCAGTCACATTAACAAATGTGAAAGGTAGTGACTATGTTAATAAAATTGCAAACTATTATTTCAGTGACTCCAGATTCATTGTTTATGGAGCTGTATCTGGAAAGACAGATGAAATCTCTTTCTTTCTTCTCTTTGCTGTTCATGTGCATTCTTAATATAGAATGATGCTCTTTAAAAAAGAAGAACAAGACCAAACCAAACCCCAAAACCTAGCCTTGAGAAGCTGGATGGTAGCACACCTATGTAAGGATGAAGCACAGGAATGGAATATGGGGAGGGGGGGAAAAGGCCTTCACTATGCAGAGATACTCTAAACAGAAGGCTTAGATGTTTTTATATGATGGAGAACCTCAATAATTATTAAACACTGCTCTAAGTAACTGTCGCTGGATTCTATATATAACCATAATTCTTTCAAGTTTGCCTGTCAACAGTCACCTTCAGATGAAGGTCATGTGTCAGTGTGAAGGCTAGTAGAAAACATGGGAGTCTAAATACTTGCACTGAGCTGAGGTGATTGCCATGATGTAGTTCTAGTTCAGTTTTAAGAAAACTAATCTGTATTTCAGCATGTATGTATTCAGATCTGAGAGGCTAACTTTTACTATTTTCCTTCTGTTTTTGAAGGTTGCTGAATCTCTAGGAATCACAGAAATACTCAGTGGAGAAGAGAAGATGCAAGGTGCAGAGTCTTATTCACAATGTGTAATTAAAATGGTTAGTGAGCAAGTTCCTGTGGACGTACTGGGACAAAAACGGTTAGCTGAGGTATGGAACACCTCTGTGAAAATTAACAATGAAACTAAGACAAATTAAAACTTTTAAAAATGCATAGTTATTCCTTACAAAATCACGCTGGTATTATCTGAGTAATGTTAAAATGTGGTGTTCAGAAATATTGAAAGTACTCTGCTGTGGTATCATAGCAGGGCATATGAGCTAGCACACTAAGTATGTCCTTTGGGAAGACACTTGGTAGTGATCCTCAATCATTCAGGATTGAGGATCAAAGTCTTACAGGTCTTTGATACAGGGACAACAGAACTTAACGGAGGTGCTGGTAACTGGGGGCTCCACAGATTCCAGCCTGTGTTAGAGGAAATGGCCTAACCTACAGCAGATTCAGGCACTGGAGAAGTGATTGCTGTGCTAATTGGATAGAGGGGCATGAAAACAGTTTCTTTCTTTCTGACAAGTCAGTTGATGAGCTTCAGGCTTTTTATAGCTGTAGCAGAGAGCTGTGTTTTGTCCCCTTGGAGTTTTGGTGAAGTGTGAGGGTTGTGTTTAAATCCTTACCTCTAAGGAAGACCTTTAGTGTAAATCCTGTTTTCAAGGATCATCAGTTCACTGCCAAGATGTTCCCACAGTTATCTTTTCCAATATTGTCAAGTGTTACAGGGCTGCAGTTAATCATCTCTTGTATTGACAGAGCTCAGGGGAAGAAGTGTTGCCACCAGCCAAAAGGACCAAGTTAGAAGATGTAACAGAAAATGTGAACAATGCTTATGCCAGTCAAGATGAAGTGAAAGAAAGGAGTGGGAATTTGTGTACACTGTTTGAAAAAGATGGTAACCTCTTCAGATATTCCAGTTCTGTTCTGTTTATGGTGGAGCTGAACAAATCTTTGTTCTTCAAGCTACTGTGGTTTTTGTCTTACAGTTTCATCTCTTAACTTGCTTCCCAGGTCTTTCAAAAGTAGCTGTTTAACTGAAAAGGCCTCATGAGGAGGGAAAAGTTACAGATGATGCAGACAACAGTAGCTCAATCCTGGATGCATGATAATCAGTGATTGATACTACTTATGGGCGTAGTACAGTCCTGTGCTGTGTGCTTCCTGTCTGTCCTCTCCCTCTGAGTGCATGACCATGTGTGGGAGAGCAGAGGAGGAGGAAGCAGAGTGCACATCCTTCCTCTTGGCCCCAGCCAGCTACAGTAGCAGAATTACCAGAGCTTTGTGGAACTTGAGGGAAAGGGAGAGCTGGTGTAGGCTGTCCTGTATCAATCATTGAATTGAGGCACCATTTTGCACCACAGTCTTCAGCTGTTTCCCTTTTTATTCATTCGTGTTTCATCCTGCTGCCCTTCAGATTGGCAGGGGAGCAGTGAAAGAAAAGTAAATCTCTAGTAAGATATGTCTCTCAGTGCCATCCACTTTGCAAATACCTTGTTTTGGTGTTGCTGTAAGTGCCTTTGCTTTTGCCCTTTGTATGTCTTTCAGTCAGTGGTTATTGTTGTTTCCCTTGGTTAGATTTTCTTTCCTCTTAAAGGCTCTCTGCATGACCATGCTTACTTCTTGCTGCACAATCATTTTCTTCTGGGCTATGAGTTCTTAAAATTACATTTTGCTTGCACCTGCTAGTAGGGTGTTTGCTAGTCTACAGTGCAAAATGTTAAAAATAGTCCTCTCTGCAGTGTTAAGTCTCCTTTTTTGTGCAATGGTATCTTTCATAACAAAAAAAATCCAAATCCAAACCAGCTAACTTGTTCCTTTTGACCTTTATTATTAAAGACTGACTGCTCATACTACTGCAGCTTAATAGTTATTGTCCATCTACTTTCAGGGTTTGGGACCCTGGTCAGGTCCAGGTCAAGTAACTGCTAGAACACTGCATTTATTGAGGTTTTTACCTTTTCTGGTACAGGACAAAAGTGCTGCTGGGGCTCTTAGCACAGCTAATTAATATGTAGTAACATAATGACATGTCCGAGTCCAGGATGAGCCTTATTAGGAATAGAAATTTAAACAGAAGTTTAAATGCTTCCATCAACTTACTTAAAGTGATGAGGATGAGAAACTCACAAGTTTGTGCCTGCCAGTCTTTATATTTTAATGTTACTGGCTGCATAACAGATGAAAGAAAAATGAGTTTGCCTTTCAGCCCAGGTTGTTTTCAGGATGACCAGAAGAATGCTGCCTCTAAGTGTAAGGTCTCTTAATATAGAAATACTTGATAAACTATCACTATTCGACAATTCATCATGTATTTTTATAGTGACTTTCTCATTGAAAAGGTATATGAAACTCCTGTAAGGTGCTTCAGGTTTGCTAATTTGGGGGAAGCAAAGTAGGGAAGTAGTCTAGCTTTTCCTCCAAAATTATAGCTGAAATATAGGTTTTTTTAGCATGCAATATCAGATTGCCTAACAAAGTAATACTTCTTTCCCCTTTTCAGGCTTTAATCAATTAAATGGAGAAATCCTGATTTCAGAAGATAGGCATATCACTTGCTGTACAACTGGAAGTACATTACAGACAGCAGAGGAACATAATTCACTTGCTGATTCAGGAGTTCGAATTGATGGTGAAAATTCAGGTACCTTCTCCCAAACTGTGGAAATGAGGATAGAGTATCCCCAGCCTGCAGGGATACAGGGACCAGATGTGGCAGGTGAAGCATCTCTGCTGCATGCTGAGGTGGTGCTGCCTGTGGGAGCAGGTGGCTCGGCTGGGCTGCTTCAGGCGCGCTTTGTGAGCGGGAGCGCGGCGGGACCGGCAGCTCCTGAACTCCACAGCTCCCTGATGGAGCAGGCAGTGGCCAGGCAGAGCACCGGCCTACCAGCGAGTGAAGAAAATGGTCACAGTCCAAAATATCATCAACTGCAAGAAGAAAACCCGAATTTTGCAATTAAAGAACGTTCTGAGCAACTCCGTAATGCTGATATGACTGATGAGCTACAGGAACTTGAAAAAGCTTTTTCAACAAACGTCGTGCCAATAAACTACCCCCACAGTGCTCAGGCTGAGTCGCACCAGGACGCTGTCCAGGGAGCCTCCCTGTCTGCTCATGGAAACCAGGAAAATGCTTTCAAAAACGAGAGTGGATATTCCTGCGTGACACAGGAAACACACGAGCTGGCAAATACAGTTACTGTAGATGAAACTGTAGCTTTTGAGATTTCTGATGAGAGCCATGATTTTTTGTCTCAGGGACACGAACAAATTTTTATTCAGACTTCAGATGGGCTTATCTTGTCTCATCCAGACACTGCTGTTTTGTCTCAGGCAGAAGGCATCGTTATTGTGACTGATTCCAGTGGTACGACAATGCACATTCGCACACCCGAAGGGATACCTTTGGAAACAGTGGAAGCACTACTGGCAATGGAAGCAGGTGGCCAAAGTGAAGATATTTTGCTCTCGCAAAGTGAATTGGAGCCATAAATTAGAAAATCCTATAAGCTTTCTTCTGGAAAAGACTGGTTATAAAATGAATATTTTTCTAATGTGAATACTGAGATAATTGAAATTTAACTTATTTGTAAACTGTTTCTATGCCCTGTACTTTTTATAACTTATGTTTATATAAATTTAGCAGCATTGCAACCAAAAATTCTAGAATTAACATTGTTCTGTTTGCTTTATATGTTGGGGATGGGTAGAAAGTGGAAATCTTGTCAACCCTAAAACTTGCACTGTCTCCTTTTGTTACATAATTCCTTTTCTCTTTAGCCATCTAAAAATGCAGTAAGTTGTACTGCTGTTCAGCAGTGATGTGCTGTGTACTGGCAAGCTGTATATGGGTAAAATAAAAGCTATGTTAAAAATGTGCATTTTCTGTGCCACTGAGATTACAAAACACTGTTATTGCACTTTTTAAAAGCTATCTTGAATATTCATTAGCATCTAGACTTGATGCACATAAATCTGCCTGGGAAAATGAGCAGGTTTAAGTATAATCCACAAACTTGTGCATTCTGGGAACAATGTGACAGCCTAGCTGATCCTTACTGAAATAAGCATTTGCTGAGTTGAGACAAAAATAGTCTCAAACAAGATCTGATTTTTACTGAACAGTTGGAAATGTATTTAAGTTGCTTGTCTACTGTTCAGCCACACCTTTAAAAATTGCTGTTACATAGACATAAATGGGAAGGTGCATAAGCAGTGATCTAATTTTCCCTAATGAGGTACCAAATTCTTTTTTTGCTTTAGTCTGTCATGGTCTATTTTTGTTAGAGTGGTATTATACTTTTTTTTTTTCCCCTTTCAGATGATGCATCCTTTATGAGTTCCACACTTCAGCCTTTCCAATAACTCCATGCTACCTTGTACTGTTTAATCATAATACAAAGGGACTGTTGCTCTAGGCAGGGAGAAAACTTGGCAAATTACTTGAATTTTTGTCATACTTTCAGTATGATCCTTGGATCAGATTATATTTTTGTGGAGACCCCCTACCAGCATGTTGTCCAGAGCACTGTCTTTTCTTTCAATAAGTTTAGCAGGTGAAAAAAAAACCAAACAACATTAAATGTGCAGACATTACTGAAAAGTGGTAACATATCCTTAAAATGTGTGTGTCACCTCATTGCTGAATAGATGCAACTACTGGGACAATCAGACAAGTCTACCAAGGACAGGAGAATTGTTCTTAAACTGAGTATGAGTACTGATATTTTTTTTTCAAGGTATTGTTACCACTAAGAAAAATGCTAAAATTGAATCCAAACATAAGACAATTTACAGATTAAATAAACTGTTCTACTAAACCAAAACCTTTAAACATAGTTGGGTTTGGCTTTTGTGTTTGGTGTTTTTTTTCTTTGCTGCATAAGTAGAAGATAAATTTGATTATCCAAAATGTTGTCTTTCATGAGTAGTTGTGAAAGGTACTGTATATTAATGACTTTTTGTTCTGGGTTTTTTCCCTCTTTTTTTTAGGAGGTGGTAATTGTCAGAGGATAGACCTACCTTGTAAGTGAAGGTAGTATACAAAGCAAAGTTCTGTTGGTCTTTCAGTCTTTTATTGCAGTGAGCTATTCTTTATGATACTCTTTTGTACTGACTGTGTAATAATTATATTTGAGGGCTACAAATATAACAATCAACTGCTTAGAGCTAGAATGACAAAACATCTCTGCAATGATTTTGCAGTAATCTTCCAATACCCAACAACAGTCAATAAGCAGGAGGGTCTGTGAATATGAAGACCCCTTCCTGAAGAGCTTTTTTCCTCTTAAGGAATGAGAACAAACCACAATTTCCACCTGTGGAGAAAATGAAAACTTGCTTCAATTTTGTCTTCCCCATCAATTTGCACATGCTGGGAAATACAATACACCTACCCTCATCTTAAAAGAACAGTTCTATATGTGAACCAATCTTTTCTCCTTGGAAAATAGTTTTGAAGTACTGAGATGTTTCCATAGTGACACAGGTCTGCCCCAGCTCAGATGAAATAAGGTGGCTGTTAAACTAAGTGGAACGCTTCCACTGAAAAAATAACAGAACCCAACAAATCTGTTCCTAACTTCATCCTTGAGCTACAGCAGAATTTCTTTTTATATGCTGAAATTGTGGGCTAAGAATAGAACTCTTATTAGCTGCCAGAAACAACCTCATTGTTCAACAGAATAACTTTTCAAGAAAACTTTTTAATTCATGCCTGTCTGTCCTGCTACTGCAGGAATTTCTCTTACTAAACTTACAAGGTTTCAGCTTGGGGCTAATTAGATAAGTAACCCTGCTTTTCCTATCAGTACAGAGGGACAGAGACAC